GAATTATTTTGCGTTGAATTTGCTTCGTATTAGCGTCGATTTAGCGTCGATTTTATAGAAGTAGGTGAACCCATTAAAAACGTGCAATCTACCTACCCAGTTCGACGGAATATTCGACGCTAAAACCGACACTCTATGATTAACGCTAATTCGACGCTAAATTAGCGTCGAATTGAAGATGAGGACGCTAATTCGACGCTAATTCGATGCAATTTAGCGTCGAATTAGCGTCGATCATTTTTCGTCTCAATTTTGCGTCGATTTAGCGTCGAATTTTTTGAACGACACCAAAACGACGCAAAAGCGTCGCAAATTTTGTGTCGACGCAAAATCGACGCTAAATTTTGACGCTAAAACTGTTTTTTCTTGTAGTGCACTAGATGTGATATTGGGCTTAAAGAACATCTGTCCAAGTTTATCTGAACCTAGAAAATAACCTACATCCCTAACTGTCCCATAAACCGTTCTTGACTGCGAGTCTTGAACCCTAATTGGAAACCCTGATAGATTGTTCGAACATGTAAGCCAAACATATTGTAAATTCTAAATGATTTTGGGAATAAAGAATGCATGTAAGTAAGAGATAGCTAAACAATTTTTTACAAATCTTTTATATCATGAATCTTATTCTTGTTGAATATAGATTTTACAAACTTACAACTACCAAATTTATAAAGAGCATTAATTTAAGCTAAACAAACAATTTTTTTTTTCCTTCCATGGAGACATTAATCAGTTATGACCTTGTCCAATGTCTCACATTTCTTGGATAGCTACGATTTAAAGAATTGGCTTTACAAAGAGATTTTATATCAATTTTTCACCGAAAAACAAGTGAAACAAGAAAGCCAACCACCATCCTTGCCCTGTTTTGGATCATCGAGGTTTAAACCGGGATTCTGATCAGGTCTCGATATGTCCGTTATACCACTTTCACATTTCATATTCAATGATGTCTTCTGATCTTGTTGGTACTCTGGTAATCTACATAAACAAATAAGAAAATTTAAAACTAAAAACCAATAGAGGTCATATCCACAACTGATTCGAAACCTGTTTGGTGCAACCACTCTAGTTATGACTGAGTAAACCGTTTTTGCGAGTTTGGACAAAATGACTTACGTGGGAAATGCGAAAGAAGCTGCGCTGGTATTACTGGTCTCGGAGTGATAAGACTTCGTTGGTGAAACCGGAACTGGTTGTGGTGGATCGGGTTTAAAAACATTGGTTAAGCCATCTCCATTAGCAGTTTTTGGTCCGGTCTCCACTACTACGGTTATATTGGCTTCTTTGGTTCCAGCGTCGGTTAAAGTATTTTTGTTATCAAGGTGGTTGTTGTTGTTATTAAAATACGGAGCTGTATAGTCGAAATTAGTAAGTTCTCCTGATTTATACATAATGAGTTCTCCAGATTTATACATAGTAGAGAAACTTTGATCTCCCATGTGAATACTGAACAAAGACTCGTTAGATTGTATACTCCATTCTTGTTTCGGAGTCATTGTTGTTGAGAAAACAGCCGGTGGAATCCGATCTAGTTCATATCCTAGTTTTGTTTCTTGCTGCATTGTGAATCTTTCTCCAGAGAAATATAAATCAGATTTTAATGAATTAATCAAAACATTTCAAAAATAAGAGTTTTTAAGCAGAGTAAGATAGGCAAATTCTATTCTTTTTATTTTCAAAAACGATGGATACCAAAATTGTAATAATTTGGGTTATTGTCGAATGTTTTTTTTTTCTAAACCGGATTTTTCATAAGTTTTTAACATATATCATGTTGGGATTCACTAGTATATTAGATGAACGATGAAATAGCAAAATAATAGAATGACCGAATAGATAATGAATTTCATTCGATAAAAAATGTATATATGGTTTGCTACCGCAGGTTTTTCTCAATGTTATTATATATGGTTTGCTACCGCAGGTTTTTCTCAATGTTACAAAAAATGTAGCTATATAATAAACCCACATTTGTACCAATATAAGAGCTCTCACCTTTGATCAAGCTGAAGCAGAAAGTTCTTCAAGAACCAAAAGGCTGAAAGGAACAGTTTCTTTCTTTTTCGAAATGTGTTGAAAATAAATCTAATATGTGTCGTAATTAATGATGACTACTTTTTGAACTAAATAAACGTAATTGATAACAAACGTAATTGAACTAAAAAACTAATCTCCTTTACAGAGATAATTATAAACAAAGAGTTTGGACTTCAGTTATAAGTTATAACCAAAAATTGGGACAAATATTTAATATTTAAAAAAATAATTGGGACATACTCAATGGCTTAGAGCCTAATTCGGAGCTGTTACTATTAAGCAACAGAAAGTGTTTAACTCTTCTTGATTTCGTTATACGTATTAGGTTTTCAATTGTTTATACATATCTTTTAAAATTCTGCTAACTAACAGTTAACTAAATTAAGATTATAAATAAAGAATGACAGACAAAAAATTGTTGTCTTTAACAAAATGCCGCAGTAAACGCATATTGTAATAAGTTTTATAATCATACCATTTCTAGGTATTATAAAATTAGGTGTTACATTGTTATCAACAGTAGGTAATTCTCCCGAAAATATTTATCAAAACAAAAAAAAAATCTCCCCAAAATAAGTATCACTCACTTATATCATTCCAACGGTCACGACTAAGAAAACAAACAATTGTTGGTACAAGCATATGAAATGAATGATGAAATTTGGCGTCGATCCTGTTAATGAATGAAAAGTCCCAGAAATTGGTGAATTAATTAATT